AAAAAAAAAAAAAAAAAAAAAAAAAAAAAAAAAAAAAAAAAAAAAAAAAAAAAAAAAAGGTGAAGAAGAAGAAGAAACTCACCCTTAACTTTCTCTCTCTCTCTCTCTCTCTCTCTTTCTCTCTGGGAGCCCTCGCAAAGTTTGCCAGGTTGTCCGGAGGTCTGTGGGGGGATTACCTCCCTGCCGAATACCCCGGACTCAACAAGATCCTGACCCCAGTATAAGGAACGCGGGACACCGAGTTTAATCGGTATTTTTGCCATATTTTTTATGACTGCGGACGCCTTTTGCGTTTTTTGTTTTTTATGTTTTGTGACTTTTATGTTTTATGGTTTTTACGTTTTTAGTGTTTAAGACTTTGCGGGATCCACCCTGTAGATCGGATCCCGGTTTTCTTGGATAAGTGACAGGGACCCGACCTTTTAAAGTTGGCCGTATCTTTGTCTGAAGAGTCGGTGAACGGTCTGGTTTTTGTTGCAATTTTTTTGCGTTTTTTCCTCATTTTTTGCTATTTGTTTTGCTACTTTTTGCTATTTTAAGGAGTGCAGAAGAAATGGGTTTTTTCCCTTTTTTACGTCGGCGGTCATGGGGTATCTTTAGTAGTTCGAGTAAAGCTAGAGCGGGATCAGACGGGATGGGAATGCGAAGACGGTGGTAAGGTGCAGAGACAAGAAAGGTTGGGCTGCTCCGAGCGGTGAGGATGGTAAGAGTGAATGAAGGAACAAAGTTGTATGCTAATCGGGTGGAGGAGGAGGAAGATGGACTACCACCCGACGGAGCGGTCAGTAAGAATTACGCAGTGGCTGTGGATGGCAAGCAGTTAGGGGTCCAAGTGTGTGTACCATAATTAGCCATACGGGGATGAAACATCAGAACTAAGGACTAGTCTTTGCAGCATACACATAATAAAGGTGAATAGGAGGTAGTGGAGGGTGGATGGATGAAGCACGTGCTCCAGGGATAAATAGGACCAGCGGTATGAGTTCGACACCTCGACTTCAGGCCCCCTGATGAGACTGCTGTGTACGCCAGCAGCGAAACGCGTAGGGGCGATGCGTACTGTGTATTCTTGATTATCTATAACGATGTGAGGTTATGGTTGAGTCGCAAACGTGTTCCGGAGTTGCTCATGTGCTTGCTTCTTGCTTCTTGAATCTCGAATAGCGTGGTAACCGTTTGTGTTTGCATATGACGGTGGCTACGAGTTGGTGCGCTCTTTACAACTTGATGCAGCTGGGTTGAGGTGACGATCTTTCCGAACCGGGGCGTGAGCGTCCCCGGGTGGAGATCGTGACCAGGGCCGGAGCTTGGGACTCCGCAGCCTTTGGCGAGCACAACACAAGGGGGGCACGATGATATTTCCAAAGCCAGCCGGAGTGAGTCGTCCGGAAGTGTGACCATCTTATGTACAGCGAGACCGGTTGAAGAACACGGCGAGCGGCCTTCTTCGTGGTTGTCTTCGAGGTGTTGGAATAGGGAGTAGTGTAGAGCGGGAGCTACGTGGCTGGATCCGAACTGCCGATTGGACGAGATATGACGGATCGAAACTTTAGGGTCGAAGAGATCCATCGACTTTGGGTAGACTTAGAGAAGATAGTATTAGATAACGTCGTATCGTGCTTGTTTATCGCGTTAACGACGGAGACTTTAGAGAGGAGTTGTTCGAGTATTTAGAGAGTTTTCTCGAGAGATTGTACTGTTTGGGCTGCGTAGTGAGAGATCAGAGCAGGAAGAGTAGAAGGAGATTGACGAGGAGAAGGTAGCATGGCAAACTTTCAGAATTAGGGTGCGCCTCGAATCCAAGGATACGGGAGTAGGCCGCTGAACGGGAATCAGCAAGGGGTGATCGTGTGTTACATTTGTGGGAAGGCGGGCCACTACGCGCGTAATTGTTGGGCAGGAGGTAATGGAAGGTCACCGTTTCAATCGAACGTGACCATTGATGAAGAGACTAAGGAGATGAAAGAATATTTCAGAGAAAAGATTCGGAAGCGAAAGATGGAGGAGGAAAGGAGAGTGAAGGAAGAGGAAAAAAAGAAGAGGAGGGATGAAGAAAACAGGAGAGAGATCGAGAGAATGGGGGAAGCGGAGGCAAGGGAAGCTAGGTTGGAAGCACGAATGGTACGCCTGCTCATGCAGCATACCCGAACGAGTAACAAGGCCGAGGACGGTATCGGTAAGAAAAAATCGCCCAAGACGAAGGCAAGGATGGTTCGGGAGATAAGAAGCTATCTGGTGGAGTCCGATGACGATAGTGAGGAAGTGAAAGAGGAGGCAGGCAAGTTGATCAAAGCAATCGAAAGGAGGAAGGGCAAGAAGAAGATAGATGAGGAGGGAAGGATATCCAAGAATGTGAAGAGAGGGTACTACGGAAACCCGGTGAGAATAGACGACGCCGAGGATGAGGTCAGGACCCCACCTCCTATGAAGAAAGCATTAGAAGGTGGGACCGGAGGGTCCGAGATGCTCGATTTCGCCATTGAACTGCACCGAAGGTTATCTGAGAAGAAGGTTCTAGAGTTGAGGAAGCTGTGCAGCCAAGAGGGGATTGAATGGTAAAAAAAGGACAGTGCCATAGTTGAGTTGGTGAGATGTAAGGCGAAATTGGCATACGAGGAGTTTGTAGAAAGTGATAAGTTTTGTCCCATCTTCGAGAAATGAAGACTTTGTTGTTGAGGGAAGCCCGACATGGATATCCTTGCAAGAGCTACGGAGAACTATATTCGATAGGGGGGAGCAGATCGATAAGGGATATGCGAATCTGGATGTGGTTGTAGAAGACCGGATTTTTAGGATGTTTTTGCTTTATGTAATACGGCGAGGCTGCCCGTGGGCCAGGAAGTGGGTAAGGATTGCAGGATCCGAGGAACGTGATGTGTCCACCGAGGATCCCGGTGTGTATGTGCTCGTAAGTCCCTAGTGTCGGCATTTTTACGTAGGATATATGTCTCGAAAGATTATCATTCGATGGACAGATCAGTGACACGTGAAAAAGTCGAAGAGTGGAACCTTGGGGAACGCACCCAAATTACACGCGTGGCTGAAGATGTTCGGGTGGCGGAATTACCTGGCCTTGCCTTTGCTTAGTAAGACAAACGATTCTCTATCAGTGGAGAAGGCGCTCATTAGCAAATTCTCGTCGGCGCTGAACATGCAAGGCACGGGGAGAGAGGGCCGGAGGAGGAGAAGGAGGAGAGGAAGGAGGAGAGGAAGGAGGAGAGGAAGAAGGGAGAGGGGTAAAAGGAAGTACGGTGTTGTCGCCGAATCGATTTATCGTTTTAATGGGCGGGAATCCATCCTTGACGCAGTGAAGGAAATGAGTAAGAAGGCGGGGGAGCATCATATCGTTACTGTGGGAGGGAATATTTGGATAGATAGGTGGAACGTATTGAGAAGCAAGATCGGTTTGAGT